AGGATAGGAACAGACAGATCACAAAAGAGGAAACCCATGGGGTTATCAGGCATATGAAGACATGCTCAATTTTACTAATGATTAGAGAAGTGCAAATTTTAGAAAAAACAGTGAAATATTACTTTACACCCATCATATTTGCAAAAATTAGAAAACCGAGTCACACGAAGTGCTGGCAGTCATGTGGGGATACAAGAACCTTCACGTACTGTTGGTGAGAGTCTGGGCTTGAGCAGCCATTCTGGACAGTTGTCTGGCAGCACTCAACCAAATTTAGCCTCTACACCAGAGTTGTCAAGTACCCAGTGGTAATAGGGTCTACCACCCATAGTGAAGGGGGGCTGGGAAAATACCCCCTGAGAAAGGGTATCTATGCTGAGAACTAAAGGTCCAGGAGGAGTTACCCAGGAAGTTGGGTATAAGGGAAAAGCATTTCAGGCAGAGGGAACTGCACAAGAAAAGGATCTAAGGTGAGAAGCAGCATGGCACATTCATGGCACATAAAGTAAGGCCAGTGAGCCTGAAGCACAGCAGGGACATGTCCTGATTTGCTGTATTTTGAAGCCTTCTGGGAGAGTGTAGCAAATTGGTCTAATGAGCACACACATCTGTTGATACCTCCCTTCCTTCCCCAAATTCTCCCAAAGCAACCCCAAAAATACCCTGAAAAGAAAATCTTCAGTGGTGCCTTTCTTTCTTTCCTTCTTTCTCTGTTTCATTCATTCTTTCTTTAATTTTTAGTTTATATTGAACTATAGTTGATTTACAATGCTGTGTTAGTTTCAGGTGTACAGCAAAGTGATTCAGTCATATGTGTGCGTGTATATATATATATATATATACACACATATATATATATATATATATATATATATATTCTTTTCCCATTTAGGTTATTACAGAATATTGAGCAGAGTTCCCTGTGCTATACAGTAGGTTCTTGTCGGTTACCTATTTAAAATATAGTAGTGTGTATATGTCAATCCCAAACTCCCAATTTATCCCTCCCCCCCTCAACCTTTCCCCTTTGGTAACCATAAGTTTGTTTTCTAAGTCTGTGAGTCTATTTCTGTTTTGTAAATAAGTTCATTTGTATCATTTTTTTTTAGATTGCACATATAAGTGATATCATATGATATTTGTCTTTCTCTGTCTGGCTTACTTCACTTGTATAATAATCTCCAGGTCCATCCATGTTGCCAGTGGTGCTTTTCAAGGGAGGCATCAGGGGACCGAATATTCTCTAGGAGACTGCAGATGGAGTCAAGCCATATGGAAAAAAGAGCTAAGGGAACCACAATCTAAATACAAGGGGTAAGGATAGACTTTTGCAGAAGTCCATCCTGAGTGGAAGCAGACTGTGTGGCTTCAGGCTGGAGCACTTCATTGCCAGTATGAGCTCCTCCAGAGCTCTGTCATTCTAATTCCTTTATTTAAAATATATATATATATATATATATATATATATTTATTTAGGCTGTGCTGGGTCTTAGTTGCAGCATGCATGCAGGATGTAGTTCCCTGACTAGGGGTCAAACCCAGGGCCCCTGCATTGGAAGCATGGAGTCTTACCCACTGGACCACCAGGGAAGTCCCTCTAATTCCTTTAAATAGCCTGTATTCACTGTAAGTCCCAAATTCACATCTCTAGCCTGGGCCTCTCCAGATTCAAAATCCAACTGCCTCCTCAACATTTCCACTTTGGTGTTTCATAGGCATCTCAATGCTAACTTCCCCAAAATCGAACTATTGAGTTACTGGCTCCAAGGCCTGCCCTTCCACGACAAAGACAAAAACAAAACCAACAAAAACTCTATTCCTCTCTCAGTCTCCCCCATCTCTGTAAATGGTCCCTCATTCACCCAGCTTCTCAGGTCAAAAACCATAAAGCATCCTTCTTTTTTACACTTTTATTGGAGTATAGTTGATTTACAGTGTTGTGTTAGTTTCAAGTGTACAGCAAAGTGAATCAGTATATATATATATATTTTATATATAGTAATGTGCATATGTTAATCCCAATCTCCTAATTTATCACCTCTCCCCATGTGTCCCCTTTGGTAACCATAAGTTTGATTTTGAGATCTGTGAGTCGGTTTCTGTTTTGTAAAATGTTCATTTGTATCATTTTAAAATTAGATTCCACATAAAAGTGATATCAGGGGCTTCCCTGGTGGCGCAGTGGTTAAGAAGCCACCTGCCAATGCAGGGAACATGGGTTCGAGCCCTGGTCCAGGAAGATCCCACATGCTGCGGAGCAACTAAGCCCATGCGCCACAACTACTGAGCCTGTGAGCCACAACTACTGAAGCCCATGTGCCTAGAGCCCATGCTCCACAACAAGAGAAGCCACCGCAATGAGAAGCCCGTGCTCCACAACGAAGAGTAGCCCCCGCTTGCCGCAACTAGAGAAAGCCCGTGCGCAGCAACAAAGACCCAACGCAGCCAAAAATAAATAAATAAATAATTTTTTTTAAAAAAAGTGATATCATATGATATTTGTCTTTGACTTACTTCACTTAGTATGATAATCTCTAGGTCCATCCATGTCGCTGCAAATGGCATTATTTCATTCTTTTAAAAACCATAAAGCATCCTTGATGCCTCTTTTTCTCACCCCCACATCTAGTCTCTGAGGAAGTCCTTTTGGCTCCACCTTCAAAAGAGATCCATAATCCAATCCCTTCTCATCCCCTCCACTGCCAGCACTGTCATCAGTCATTTGGACCCTTGCAGTAGCTCCCTCACTAGTCTCCCTGCTTCTTTTCTTGCCTCCTTACAGTTTCTTTTCCTCATAGCAGCCAGAGGTATCCTACTCTAACTCAAGTAATTTCTCTTATGTACTCAGAATTCCCTCCTGGCTCCCATCAGAATAAAAGCTAAAGTCCACGGTCCCACATAAAGCCTATGGTCCACAAGGCCCTGTGAGATCTAGTCCTTGTTACTTCTCTGACCTCCCATCCTACCACTGTCCCCCTCACTCTCTCTGCACCTGCACTGGTCTCCTTTCTGCTCTTCATACATGCTGAGTGTGCTCACAACTTCAGGCTCTTCGCTATTTGCTATTCTCTTTGCATGTGCCTTGTTCCCTCATTTCATCCTGGTCTGTTTAGATATCACCCCTTCAGAGAGGCCTTCCTTGATACTTCTACCTCAAGTTTTCTGTCTCTAGAGTCTGCTTTATTTTACACTGTAGCACTTAACACTTCCCTTCATCATATTACCTCTATAATGCTTTATATATACCGTCTCCCCAACTACAGTGTAAGTTTCATGGGGATAGAGTCTTCAATCTCTTCACCATTGCATCCCCACACCTGGAATATAGTAAGAATTCAGTAAGTATGTTTAAAGCATTGAGTTAATTTAATAACCAATAATACAAAACGTAAGGACTAAGAACAAATGGAACAGGAAAAGAATGAGAGGAAACAAAAGTAATCAAAGGAGTATGGAATCTTCTTAAATATTGATGATACTATACTCACAAAATAAGAATGGGCCATGTGTGGGGGCAAGGAGCATTGGAAAATCTTTGTATCTTTCTCTCAATTTTTCTGTGAACCTAAAGCTGCTCTAAAAAAGTATAGTCTTGGACTTCCCTGGTGGCATAGTGGTTAGGAATCCTCCTGCCAGGACACGGGTTCGAGCCCTGGTCTGGGAAGATCCCACATGACGCGGAGCAACTAGGTCCGTGAGCCACAACTACTGACCCTGCGCATCTGGAGCCTGTGCTCCACAACAAGAGAGGCCGCGACAGAGGCCCGCGCACTGCGATGAAGAGTGGCCACCACTCGCCGCAACTAGAGAAAGCCCTTGCACAGAAACGAAGACCCAACACAGCCAAAAATAAATAAATAAATTTATTTTTAAAAAAAGAATCCTTCTGCCAATGCAGGGGACACGGGTTCCAGCCCTGGTCCAGGAAGATCCCACATGCTGTGGAGCAACTAAGCCCGTACACCACAACTACGGAGCCTGAGCTCTACAGCCCACGAGCCACAACTACTGAGCCTGCGTGCCACAACTACTGAAGCCCGTGCGCCTAGAGCCCGTGCTCCACGACAAGAGAAGCCACTGCAATGACAAGCCCACGCACCGCAACGAAGAGTAGCCCCCACTCGCCGCAACTACAGCAAAGCCCGCGCGCAGCAACGAAGACCCAATGCAGCAAAAAAAAAAAAAAAAAAAAAAAAAAAAAGTATAGTCTTGGGACTTCCCTGGTGGTCCAGTGGCTAAGACTTTGCACTCCCAATGTAGGGGGCCTAGGTTCGATCTCTGGTCAGGGTACTAGATCCCACATGCCGCAACTAAGTGTTTGCATGCTGCAAGAAGATCCCGCACACAGCAACCAAGATCCGTGCCACAACTAAGACCCAGCACAGCCAAATAAATAAATAAATATTAAAAATTTTAAAAGTATAGTCTTTTTTTTTCTTTGCTGCACCACAGGACTTGTGGGATTTTAATTTCCCGACCAGGGTTTGAACCTGGGCCCTGGGAGTGAAAGAGCCGAGTTCCAATCACTGGACCACCAGGGAATTCCCAAAAGTATAGTCTTTAAAAAGAAAAAAAGAGGCTGCTATGAAAAGAGCAATCAGCAGACACCGGGCTGAATAAATAGAATGGCCATAACTGAAAACAGAATTAGTAATTCGAAAAATAATTTTAAAAAAGTCTTTCAAGTATGAGGATCCAAAAAGACCAAGAGATAGACAATGGAAAAGGGAAGCTAAGGGCTATGAAATATTGATGTTGAAAATTCAACATGCATCCGCCTTTCCTCAGTGCATTTGCAAATGCTATATTTATTTAGAATCAGCTGCTCCCTTGAGCACCTTGTATAAATATCAGCCTTGTCCTCCAGACTTTACTCTCTAACATTACACCCTGTTCATTCCCTTTATTGCATTTACTGTAACCTGTATTTATATATTTGTGGGTTGTCTACCTCCTTCCCCCATTAGAATGAAAGTTCTATAAATAAGAGCAGGGGGAATTCCCTGGTAGTCCAGTGGTTAGGACTCAGCACTCTCACTGCTGTGGCCCGGGTTCAACCCCTGGTTAGGGAAATAAGATCCCAAAAGCCATGCAGCTCAGCCATAAATAATAAATAAATAAATAAATAAATAAATAGCAGGGATGCCATCTGTAATGGTCATGGCAGCATCCCCCTGTCACTATGTCCAACATAAAGTATGCATGTTGTATTTGATTAATTAATTGATTGACTGATCCTGGAGAAATTTAGAACTCCAAAGGTAAAGAAGAAGCTTCAAAAGATGTAAAATAGGTCACATGAAATATTACAGGAGTATCGGAGTTTTCTCAGTCAGCATAGTACTCTAACACAATGGTGCAATATCTTAAAAGCTATGAGAGGCAATTTTTAAGCTAAAACTCTTTACTCAGTCAACTTAGTACTCAAGTATGAGGGCAAAATAAAGATCTTTTAGGGTATCTACAATTTTGATTATTATGTACAAACCATCTCTGAAAGAATTGCAAAAGCGTGAACTGAAAGAAAAAAAACAATGACAAGAAACTTCCCAATTTGGTGAAAAACAGGAATCTATACATCTAAGAGCTCAACAAACACCAAGTAGGATAAACTAAAGGAGATCCATATCTATACGCATAGTAGTCAAACTGTTGAAAGCTAAAGACAGAGAAAATCTTGAAAGCAACATGAGAAAAATGACTCATCATGTACAAGGGTATCACAAGAAGATTAACATCTGACTTCTCAACAGAAACCAGAGACCAGGAGGCAGGGAGGTGACATATTCAAAGTGCTTAAAGAGGGAATTCCCTGGTGATCCAGTGGTTAGGACTCTGTGCTTTCACTGCCAAGGCCCAGGGTCCAATCCCTGGAATGACTGTCAACCACGAATTCTATATCCAGAAAAGATACCCTTTAAAAATAAAGGAGTAGATTTATGTTATATGTATTTTACCACAAGTTAAAAATTTTTTAAATAAATTTATTTATTTTGGTTGCATTGGGTTTTCATTGCTGGGCGCGGGCTTTCTCTAGTTGTGGCGAGCGGGGTCTACTCTTTGTTGCGGTGCACAGGCTTCTTATTGCAGTGGCTTCTTTTGTTGCAGAGCGTGGGCTCTAGGCACATGGGCTTCAGTAGTTGTGGCACACAGGCTCAGTAGTTGTGGCCTGTGGGCTCTAGAGCACAGGCTCAGTAGTTGTGACGCACAGGCTTAGTTTCTCCACGGCATGTTGGATCTTCCCGGACCAGGGCTCGAACCCATGTTCCCTGCATTGGCAGGCAGATTCTTAACCACTGCGCCACCAGGGAAGTCCCAATTTTTAAAAAATTTTTTAAATGAGGGAGAAAGTGAAGACATTTTGTTTAGTAAACAAAAACATCACTAAACAGACCCACAAGAAATACTAAAGAGAGTCCTTCAAGCAGAATTGAAAGGACACCAGGGGACTTCCCTGGTGGTCCAGTGATTAGGACTCCTCCCTTCCACTGCAGGGGACACGGTTCAATCCCTGGTTGGGGAACTAAGATCCGGCAGGCAGTGGCGTGGCAAAAAAAAAAAAAAAAGAAAAAAAAAGAAAGGACGCCAGGTAGTCACTCAAATCTGCATGAAAAAAAAACAAAGAACCCTGCTAAAGGTAACTACAGAGGTAAGTATAAAAGACAGTATAAATATGTATTTTTTAATTCTTTTCTTCTGTTATCTGATTTAGATGACAAATACATAAAGCAATAATTATAAAACTGTTGATGGACTTATAATGTATAAAGATGTAATTTACCTAATGATAATAGGGCAAAGGAGGAGAAAAGGAACAGAGCTATATTGGAGCAAAGTCTCTGTATGTTATTGAAATTAATGAATAATAATTTAAATTAATTATTAATTACTCAATAATTTGAAAACTTCCCACAGAGATGCCCAGATCAAGATGACTTCACTGGCGAATTCTACCAAGCATTTAAAGAAGAATTAATAGCAAATTTTCACAAACTCTTCCCCAAAATTGAAGAGGAGAGAACATTTTTCAACTCATTCTATGAGGCCAAAAGCAAAACCAGACAAAGGTAACCCTACAAAAGTACAGACCAATATCTCTTATGAATGTAAACTCAAAACTCCTCTTCTTCAAAATTCTAGCAAATTAGGGGTGGTGGTGGGATGAATTGGGAGATTGGGATTGACATGTATACACTGATGTGTATAAAATGGATGACTAATAAGAACCTGCTGTATAAAAAAATAAATAAAATTAAATTCAAAAAAAACATTCTAGCAAACTAAAGCCAACAACATATAAAAAGGATTATATACCATGACCAAGTGGGATTTATCCCGGGAATGTAAGGTTGCTTAATATCTGGAATCAATTAATGTAGTAGGCCATAACAATAGAATAAAGTACAAGAACCACACGATCAACTCAACAGAAGCAGGAAAAGCATCTGACAAAATTCAACACCCCTTCATATGTTTTTATCATGAATCAACATATCATCAACAACCTAGGAGTAGAAGAAAACTTCCTCGACATGATAAAGGAAAAAAACCCCACAGCTAATATCACACTTCTTTTTTTTTGTCACAAGAAACTGTGACAAACTCAACAAAGTTCTACACAAGTGGAATCTCATGTCACCTCGGTGCCAATCCCCAGCACAACACAGTGACAAATGGACAGACCCTGGAGGAAGTCGCGGGGAGAGACGTGGGAATGAGAAGGACTGCAGATCCAGGCCAGTCTGGGTCCGCAGCCCTGGGCAGGGGAAAAGGTTGAGAAGCTGAAACTTCATTGTGTAAAAATCAACCAAAAATATTTTAAAAATTAAATAGTTTCTTAAAAAAAGAAAGAAGAAAAGGAAAGATAACTAAAACGCCTTTCCTGAAGGTGGTTGGAGCCACCCATCCTGGATGGAAAAGGGGTTACCAATCCCATCAGACAGCCAATCCATCCACACACCCCAAGACCCAGCAGAGAATGCTCCAAAGAACCTAACGTCATACTTAATGGTGAAAGACTGAAAGCTTTTCCCCCAAGGATCAGGATTAAGACAAAGATGTTTGCTTTACCACTTCTATTTAACATTGTGCTGAAGGCGCTAGCCAGGGCAATTAGGCAAGAAAGGGAGATAAAAGGGATTCATATTGGAAAGGCAGAAGTGAAATCATTTCTGTTCGCAAATGACATGATCTTGTACATGGATAATCTTAAAGAATCCACAAGAGGGCTTCCCTGGTGGCGCAGTGGTTGAGAGTCTGCCTGCTGATGCAGGGGACACTGCTTCGTGTCCCGGTCCGGGAAGATCCCACATGCTGCGGAGCGGCTGGGCCCGTGAGCCATGGCCGCTGAGCCTGTGCGTCCGGAGCCTGTGCGTCCGGAGCCTGTGCTCCGCAATGGGCGAGGCCACAACAGTGAGCGGCCCGCGAACCACAAAAAAAATAAATAAATAAAAATAAAATAAAATAAGTAAATGAGAAAACCCTCCCTCGGCCCCCTGTTTCCCTGAAGCATCCATTAAAAAAAAAAAAAAAAAAAGGTTGAGGTAAGTTTAACGTTATGTATACCTCACCACTAAAAAAAAAAAAAATATTGGAAAAAAAAACCTTACATGAATTTTCCTCAGTCTGGTCTTTGTGTCCCTGAGAATTGCTTTGTTTAGTTTCATCTGCCCAGAATCAGGAGGGTTTTTATTCCTGGCCCAATATCAGTGATGACTGGCCTTTGGCCAAAATCTGGAGACACCAAGTCACACAAGCACCACCCTTCTGGAACACTGCAGTTCTCGGGAGAACTTCTCAGCCTAAAACCATGTCCCTTGCAGGCCAAGCACTTGCTTCCTTCATGTTTTCTCACTGTAATGTCAACACATTATCTCTCTAAGTGGCAATTTTCACCAGGGAAATTTGGGAATTGAAATAACTACTTTGTGAAACTTTTGCCATGAACAAGATTGTCCATTTGAGAGATTCCTTAGAACAAAAAGGGCAGGAAAACCACACGAAGAGCTTGTTTTATTTTATTTTTTTAATATTTATTTTATTTTTTTAATATTTATTTATTTGGCTGCACCAGGTCTTAGTTGGGGTACTCAGGATCTTTGTTGAGGCCTGCAGGATCTTTAGCTGCAGCATGTGGGATCTAGTTCCCTGACCAGGGATGGAACCCCGGCCCCCTGCATTTGGAGCGCAGAGTCTTAACCACTGGACCACCAGAGTCCCGAGCTTGCTCGTTTTATCTGTCTCAAGATCATTTTGTTTAACATAGGAGACACCCTCCTCTTCATTTCTGTATTTGGGGATTAAGAAGTGATGATTTTTTAATAGTATGCCTTGATAAAATTGTCAAGGGCCTGAATTATTGTTTAAATCAGCTGTAATAACTCTCTTTTGAGTATGTTTATGTCAAATTGCATTTTCCTGCAGCCAAAATTCTTCCCTTCTCCTTTCATAGGGAAATGTAACTAGCCTTTTACAGTGATAATTTCATATTCATCTGAAGCCACTACAAAACCCTTATCAAAATGGACAACAAATGAAGGAATTTCTATATAGCTTTCCATTACTTGTGTAAACAAAGAATGCTGCCTACCATTCCAATTCTACGAGGATTAAATCATTAGCCTAGCCGTTGCAATCACTCACCTACAAGTATACCCTGAAAGGAATTCAGGGGGAAACATTCTATGTTTTGGATATATGGGCACCTAGATAGGTAAGATGCATATCTAAAGAAGAATTTCAATGACCCCAGATTCTTGCATCTTCCCATATATAGATAAGCACTAAAATGCTTAACTGAGATATGGGGTGTGTGTGTGTGTGTGTGTGTGTGTGTGTGTGTGTGTGTGTGTGTGTGTGTGTGTGTGTGTGTGTGTGTGTGTGTGTGTGATTAGCAGTAATCTTTTACCAAGATGCATGCTTGAGTACATGTATTTCCCAGCCAAAAAAATTATACATTTACTTGTTCCTCCCCTACCTCTTTGAAGCAGTTCCCAGTTCTCGGAAACACTGAATAAAACTCAACTGACAGCTCTTATGTTGTGTGTTTTTTCTCCAATTGACACTTGAGATC